ATTTGATCGTTGATATACTCATTGTATTCTCATTATGAGTTCGTATGAAATCGTACGAAAAGTTATGCACCGTAATTTCATACGATTTGGAAGTTTTTTTTCGTCGTATGCGCATGCGCATCTGACGCACCATTCATGAATATAGAATATAAATTACAATTAGCCCTAACCCTGACCCTAACCCTAAGATATAAAACAGCAAGCAGCGTAGTTAGAGACATGAATAAGTGATGATTGCACTGTTTTTCCCAGTTTTACGTCCGTCCGCGGATCTGCTTTTTTTTCTGTCTGCCAGCGCATGCGCACTGATGTGGTTTTTTGAGGAAAAACGTCCAAAACGTACGAAATAGTGTGCATAACTTTTCGTACGATTTCATACGAACTGATAATGAGAATATGTTGATATACTTACAGCTACTGAATAATGGCGTATTGGCAGCATTTTGGTATAAAAGGGGGTTCACAGGAGGAAACCATCAGTACTCCTCCAGACTTCATCCCCATCATAGGGTGAGCGTGAAGTTGAGCTTGATGGATCCTTCCTGCGTTCACGCCCACAAACAACAGACTTCAGAGCAAATGTGACGCTGAATCTGCTGTGACTGAAAACCATATTTCTTTCTTTTTGTTTTTATTTATTTCTTCTTTTTTTTTTGGCCAGCAGTAAACAGCAGCTAGATTAATACTGCGATAAAAAAAAAAGAAGTTTTTATGCGCATTCCTGCCCCCCCTCAGGACACTGACTTGTTATATTTTATGGGCATTATGCTGCCATGCGTTATTCATAACTTAGGCTGTCATAGGACATACGCTCTACACTCATTATGAATACTCTATGTATAGGCCCACAACTGAAAAATACATAGAAAGTTCAGCGTGTGCCAGAGTTTTAAGAGATCCTTGGACGTCAGGCATACTCTGGCTAAATCGTAAAGGTGTGACAGGGGCTTAAACAAGAAATACAAGACAGTGCTCACAACCAGAAAACAACTAGAATTACACAAAATGGAAATTATATCAATGACTTAGACAACAGAAAATGACATAAATCGAAGTGTAACTGCAAACTCAAAAACAAACAGAACCAAAAAGCCCAGAAAGAACAATCATGACACTTTGTCAGGTGAACAAATTGGTAAACTTATCCAAGCAGCTTAAAAAATGACTTGGACCTTAAAGCTTCACTTCTTACAAAGTCTTAAGTAATCCATAAAAAAATCCACCTAAGAAGTGAAAATATTTGGAGGTATGTTCTATTGCAATTTTTATTGTGATAGTTATATGTTTTTTTTATGCAACTATCAAACTTTTTGGGGTGAAACTCTGCTCTTCTGTGTAAAAACAAAAAAAATTGCCTGAAGCAAAGATTTGAGCTTCAAACATGATCAGGGCTCTACTGAATTATTTTTGGCAGACAGCACCATGGCTTGTGAACACATTTGTAACAAACTCAAGCCCATTTTCACACATCAACACCAAAGATGTTCTTGGGCAGGTGTTGACAATCTGGTTCAGACTGTTTTTTGGCACATTACTATTCACACATGTGCATCACGGGGGTAGATTTCTATTTTTTGTGTGAGAGGCGCTTTTACAGCTGGAAAATTGGGAGGTGTCGGCTGAGGAGCATCTGTCGACGCTGCACAGGAGGAAGCGCAGAATTCATACGATGCAGGAAAATCACAGTTTTTTATTAGAGACTCTTAAGGGAAACTCAGTGAGGCTTTTTGGTTGATAATGAGAATACGTGTCTGAATGTGTCCACATTCCTGATGACTGATTGTTAAATAAATAGAAAAAAAACTCTCACTTTCACCCACTCACTCATTTGCAATAAATGTTTTGAAAGATTCGCTGTTCATACACAGCCTCATGTGCTTCTCTGTAAGATATTTTACAGTATGAGTACAGAATGAATGTGCTGATGCTGCTGTGTAAACATGTCTTTCCTTATAAAGCTTTCTAACTCATTTGACTGTGTGTGAAATCAGTAGTCAAGCTGAAAGGTACAGTATAGCTCTGATGCTTTTTAGACGTCTGTGTTAAAAATATATTTTAAGTTTCGATTAGAGTTCATTTTTAGAAGCATTTGAAACCATGATTAACACAAATGAACATCTTTTACATTTCTTTTAAAAGAGGTCAAATGAAGCACTGACTGGCAGAAAATCGAAATTCACTTCCTATTTATTAGAAACTAAAAACAAAATCGAAAAAAAAGAACTAAAATTAGAAAATCGAAAAAAATCGAAAAATTTGGATAGAATTAAGTTTGTAAGTAGTAGTTTATGGAAAAAAAATCCTATATTCAGCCTTTAGAGACAGTTATCAGTGGTATGGTGTATACAACAAAAAGCGTGTATTTCCAAATTTTTTGTTTTTGCAAAGCCATTTAGAGCCAGAAACAAATCCGGTTTTCATTAGCATATTGCTCTTCTTTCTTATTTCTTGCTTTCTTGTTTCTTTCTTTTTTTATGCAAAGTGGAAATGACTGTGCTGCTGCTGCTTCCTTTGGATCTTAAAGCCAAATAAAGTGTTTTTCATGATTTTGCTTAACAGGTACAGACCCTCTCTCAGATACACACACCAACCATATTTTACTGTATTATTTTTTATTTTTTATTTTTTTTTCAATTTTTCCACATTTTCTTAAAGGGAAAGATAATTTTTTGCCAGCATATCTAGTGTTTTTGATTGCTCTAGTTTCCTAGATAAAGATCTTTATGGTGACCCTCAGCCTTCTGTTTTGAAACCTTTTACATTTTAGTTTTTTAATCAATCACACTCCCATCCCACTGCGGCATTTTAGCATCTTTTACAGATGTACCACCTCTATTCAGATGATGCTAAGTAATTTAAGTTATACATCTCTCGAGAAATCGCTTAGGTATTTTGCAGATGCTCAGACTGTTTAAGTATATAAACTATTTCTTCTATAAGTCTTTTGTGGAGAGTGTGGGGTAACAGGATTAGAGCTAATGACTTAAAAAGCTCAAAAAGCTAATTAAGAAGGCCACCTCCGTCATAGGAACTCCTCCTGAACCTCTGAAGATTATTTCACAAAGTAGTATTTTTCATAAAGTTAAGAAAATTATGGACAACAGTGAGTATTCTGTTCAGAAGATTTTTTTAAGATACAGGAAGTCCTTCCTGCCTAAAGCTATCAACACCTACAGCACCTGTTTAAAAAAAATAATGTATGAGTTACTGCCATTAAACAAGTTACTGAATCATTAAAGAGAAATCCCCGATCCCAGAGATTCTGAGTTCAAGCCCCACTTCCACAGATTGACACTCTGGGTCCCTGAGCAAGACCCTTAACCCCCACACTGCAGAGAGTGAATTTCGTTGCTTTATACTTGTGACAATGCCTGACAAATAAAGTTGAGTTCTATTCTGTCAGGAAGCTTGGGGTAAGTTGTAAACTTTTTTATATTAGATATTCATCTTCTGAAGTGGAAATCTTAATTTATACTTTTATTTATTTTGCATTTTATTTCTACAAAACTGGACTATAGCACGCCATTCACCCGCATGATCAAAATTTCCACTGCTACCCATGTCATTAACATGATCTCACACCAAAAATAACACATTACATAGACTGACTCCCCATTCACTTCAACATACTTTAAATGATCTTGATTCTTACCTAGGGGCTTTAAATCCGAAAAACAGAATACATTTTAGTGCTTTTCAAACAAACAGCAATTCCATCAAGTATTGAGACCACAAAGTTAAGATTATTCACAGACATTGCTAAAAACTAAGAAGGCTGATGCTTGTCAGGGGTAGCAGTAGAATAGTTTCTAGTCATTTCTACTTGCCATTGAATATCTACGTCTGTGCTAATGTTTTGTATCATTTTATTTTGTACACCACTTAGCTATGTGTTGAAAGTGTTAAAATTAAACCTAGGCGGTAGTTCAACGGAAGAAACTAAATTACCTGCCTCATCATCAGAGGCTCACCTGCCTCTGACGTAAACCAATCAGCTCTGAACCACAACTCTATGAAGCCAATCGGCGTTCAGAGTCCATTTTAAAAGTTCTTTAAATCCACGACTCCACCTGCTGCTCAGCTAGCACAATCAGTGGTTGCACTATGTCTCATTTTCACTCAGATGACCTGAATTCAACCCACCTCCACCCCCTTCTCCACCATCGTAGCTAAGCTCCATCTGGCTTTTTCATGGGGCTTCTTAAACCTTGTCCCTATCAGAGTGTCATTCCTCCCAGACTCTTACTGCGGCCCCCATCTCATCTCAATCGGTCCGGCAGGAGTCCGCCATGTGGAGCTTGGTTCTGCCAGAGGTTTCTTCTCAAGTTTTTCCTCTCCACTGTCGCTAAATGCTTGCTCATCATGGACAGTTTCATGCTAACCTGTATTAACCAAACTGGACATCCATCTTCCGGGGTCCCGATTGAACCACTAGTATCAGCTCACACAGTCTACTGGATCTCATCATTGCGCACAAGCAGATTGTCTCGCCAACCAGAACCAACTTCATCTACCTCCACTCCACCATCAGTTTCAGGCCTGGGTGGAAACATCCCTTCTTCTCATGCACCTGCTTATGTATATTAAAGTAAAATTTAGCGCTAATGTTTCCTGCTGAGGTCTGAGCACAAAAGACTAATAATAATAAATAATTGCATCAGTAAAATTCTTTTAATTGTCTCTTTCTTTCCGTGAGGCATTCAGATTGAACTGACCTTATGGAATTTTTAAGGCATTGCTGACAGAAAGCCATGGGAAATCATGTTTGCATTTTTTATTTAAAATATATCTAATTTTTGTACTACAACAAAAAAACTAATTTGATGGTGTTACAAAACCAAAAGAAATTTAAGAACATTAAAAACTAGTATGAAAAGGATAATAAAAAATAAAACTGGACTTCAGAAAGCAGTAATATATGGATATCATTATGGTTGCTCTGAGTAGTTCATGGTATTTTGAACACAAAGCTTAAAATCTTTTTGAAAGCATCTACTTACTTGCTTTTTCAGATAATCAATCACGTCGATCAGAAGGCTTTCCTCTTGTCCCAGTTCTGGTGTGGTCACGATAAAGTCTACATCATGGCCAAAGTCCTTCCCCCTAGAAATCAAAAAGCAAAGTATTGTTAAAGTAAAAACTACTGGATTGAAAAAGCACTTTACAGTAACTATAACAAGCAATGGGCATGAGAGTCTTATTTTGCATTGAATTGCTGTTTAACAAAAGCATCTTTTTGGGGGTTTGCTTGGATTGATTTAATGAACCTTCCAGTTTGCAGAAAATGTTTTCTCAGTACCACTGTGATGAAGGCACGTCTGAGCCCTGTAAGGTTATGATGACAGGATTACTGTATCTGCCAAGAAGACATGTCAGATAAACCTCCGCAGAACCCCCACAGAAAACATATACACACACAAACAGTATATAAGAGCCTCTATCTGGCAGCTCAATCAATTACACACCCATACTTCTACTCTAATAGTATGTCTCCATTTCTTTAGCTATATCTAACAACATTACTTTAAAGTTGTGTCTTTTAAACAGAACAGATTTTAATCAGTTCATGGTTTTATGACCATAACACAAAAATGTATTTTAAAGTCCTGTCAGTCATATAGATCGGAAAAGAATCATAGTCTTACTATAGCTGTGTGTGGTAGCAAAACCTGGACATCTCAACAGAGGATGTCAGATAAAGAAAAAAGTATTTTGATACAGATGTAAGTCACAGAACAAGGAGTGAATCCTAAAAGAATACAGATAGTGAAATTCAGACTAGATCTGAATGCAGCTAATGTAATGTGGAAAGGGATTAGAATTATGTTTAACCTATCTTCAACTTTTACACATTTTTTCAATAAAGAAATTAGATCTGTAATGATTTTTATTCTACCAGATTTAATATGATCTTATGAACAACAAGCATGGTTTAATCGTTAAATAGAATGCATTTTATAAATTATAAATCTGGATGTTTGGTGATGTAATCATCACCCTTTGCTCTGGTACTCCTAAAATATCCTGTGCAACCAACTGTTTTCAAAAGTTGGGAAAGACTGAAGGAGGCTAACAAAGACCTCAAACGAGCCCATTTCTGAGGGGCGGACCTGTTCTTCCAGTTGAATTTTTATGTTTTCTAAGCCAAAACATGGCTTTGTTGGGCTATTCTATAAAGCTTGGAAAACAATGCTAATTCTGACATTTTAAATTGAAAAAGCTTCCTTGATGGGAAGCGAAATGGCTTCAAACTTGCAAACAAAGTCCAGTGGATTGTTTTTTAACTTTTATGGAATGACTATGACCTGGATGACTGAGAACCTTAACCATAATATTGCACTCGACTGAAAGAAGGGATCAGCAAAGGTTCAGAAGATGATGATGTTGATGATGGTGAAGGGTATTTGAACTATATTTTTCTAGTTTTTTGCGTACCTTTTTGTATTGAAGCTTCCACTTCTAAGACAATTTTCATTTATAGGAGACAATCATATGTCAACAAACCCTAACCCTACCCTAACAATATTCCCCCACACTCCATAAAACATTGTTCAATCAATTATGTAATTACTATCAGGGTTCCCATGTGTGTGTTTGAGTATGAGGGATGCATCTTCTTCTGAGAGGATCTTGGTGGAGTACCTGGGCTGCCTACACAGGTGGAGCTTGTCAGCTACATCAGAGTGCTGGGATTAAAAGTGCAGCAGAGCCTTCACTCAGCGCTCTTTCTGGCCACCTCTTGTTGAACCCTTGCCTAGTAGTTTGATTATCTCCAGTGAACTTGCCTGAAGTTGCTATATCCCTGTCCTTGTTGTCTCTAGGTTTTTTCTCAGGCTTGGTTTCAGAGGATTCAGTTCACCGACTCACCTTCTAGTGGATTTACCAGCAAGTTACCTGGCTCCATCAGAACTCTGTAATTCCATCCATCTCACACTATCAGAGGTTAACCATCAATCTCCCCACTTGGGACCAAGACCATCCTCCCTCCACAGCCCGCTCAAGGTTTTCAGAAGTAAGCTCTGTTTCTTCAAATTCCCTTCTAATTCCCATTCCAAACGCCGCCATTCACGGAACCTCCTTACACTCCTGAAGGAAATCGTACTGTCTGTTTCTCATTGTTTGGTCAATAAATCCTTTTCACTTTCTTAACTGAATTGATTCTGCATTTGGGTCAGAAGTGTATTTTACCATTATTTCCCATCTACCTCCCATATAAACAGTTTCCTCTAAATTTCACGTATTATTGTTTCATAAAATTCTATACTAAAAAAATCTCCATCTCCAAATGAAAATGTTACTATCATCACTAGTCATACACAGATCACCTTTTTTTGTTTGCAATTGGTTGCTAAGTAGATTTCTTGTGCATATCTTGAAATAGTCAGACAACTTACAGTTGTGAGTTTCTGGTATTTTAAATTCAAAAACTTGACAGGTATGATTAAAAGAGTCTGATGCATTACCAAACCCATCAAGACAAATACAGTAGGTATACACATTCAGAGGCAAGACTCTAAAGAGTCGAATATGGACCAGAGGAGCTGCACTGATCCATAGCTAAATTGATTAATCTGTTGACAGGACAACTATTTAATACATTAAAATATAATGAGCTGAGCATTCTTGAAAGTAGACTGTAATGGAAGAGTGACCTGAAGAAGGCCACATGCTACAGCGAAGGGATATAACAGCTATCTCTGGCAAAAACAGAGGGGAGGGGGGGCTGTGTGTTTGTATAAACAACAGCTTCCGCACAGACCCCAAGACTGTAAGCAGCTACTGCAGTTCATGATTAGATAATGTAGGCCTATATAACCACTGCAAGAATTTATGGCTGTTTTCATTATCGTTATGTACATCCTTCCAGATGCAAATACTAAACTAGCCCTTGGACACGGCACCATCAGTAGTCACCAGAAGTTGCATCCAGAAGCTATCTATAATAAAATGGGGGGTCAAAACCATGTGGATTTAAAAAATCATCCCTAAATTACATCAATCCATCATAGGTGCTGCAAGGGAGGAAAACATATGACAGATTCTAGTCCAACATTAATCAGGGCGTCAGGGCAATACCACATCCCATCTACACCAAGAATTATTAAATCCCTGCCTGAAGGCCTACCTCAGTAGCTACAGGACTGTTTCGAGAAGACTTTTTATGGAGATGTTTGAATATCAGGGCTTGGAGAAGGACACCACACCAGTACTAGATTACATTAACTTCTATACAGACATTGCCACTCTGGACCGGTGACACAGAATATCTCACAACAAGAAGCCTTGGATGACTGCAGATGTACAGAGCCTGCTCAGAGAGAGGAAGACCATCTTAAGGTCTCAAAACTAGGAGCCTTACAACACCCCCAGATCCAACCATATGATGAGCAAGATCAGAGCTGCTAAGGCTGCTCTAAGGAGGAAAATGGAGGGCTAATTAAAGATTAACTCCAGCTTATTACAAACTACATACTCTCTCTCTGCAAGCAGGGCTGAATTGTATTGTTTTTCATTTTATTTGCACTTATAGCACACGCCTTCAAATTTGTGGTACTTCTTGGAATTAGACTTAGATTTAGACTCAACTTTATTTATCCCTTGCGATTAATCCTTCTGGGAAATTCTGGTTCCAGTAGCTTATATAGAGTACAAAGAGTTAAAGCAGGATTGTCACAGTCTTGGTTCTGTTATGTTTTCTTTTGAGCATTCAGTTTTACTTTGCTCCATGTTTTCTAGTTTTATTGGTTTAATTTTTATTTTGTTGTGTTTTCTGATTATAGTTTAGGTTTTCAGGTTTTTATTTTTTGGCCTCTGTTGCCCTCTAGTGTTCTCTTTTTTCCCTAGCTCCTTTCCAGTCTGCTCTGTTCACACCTGCTCCCAATCTGCTCGTTAGTCCTCTCTTTGTTCAGTCTGCCATAAATACACTCCTTGTGCAGTTCCTCAGTGCTGGTTCCTCGTCAAACTTCCTCCAACTCCATCTCACTTTGTCTTCCTCATCGAGATTGTTTCCCCCTGAACTCTCCATGGTTTCTGGTTTGTTTGACTTTTTTCATGTTTGATTTTTTTGGATATTTGGATTCCTGCCTCAGCTGTCAGTTTACCTTTTATTAAATCCACAAGAAACTCACCTCTGCCTCTCTGCCTCTGCATTTGGGTCCTCAAACCACAATCAAATCCTGACAAAGATACCATTAAAAATAAAAAATACAACAGACAAAATAAAATGAGTGTGTATAGTACAAAAAAGCACAAAAAAAGAATAAGGTTGTAATGTCCTGGAATACGTTACCCCTTTGATATAAAAATTTCTGCACAGTAAAGAGCTAACGGAAGACTACACAGTAGTTGACTTGGATTCTTTTACTTGTACTGCAGATGTACTGACCTTATAAAATAAGAAAAAAAATTAAAAAAGGCTACACAGTAGTTGGCATGTGTTATTGCACAGTGAGAGAAAAAATATGAAAACAAAGACTGACAAGAAAGCTAGAAGAACGGCTAGCACCTTATAACATACATGTAAATGACACAGTCAGACAGGTACAACAAGACGCTCCTGTAGGAAAATTGCTACATTTTACTCCTTATTTTAGTGAGAAACAATTACTTTGCTTGAAAAAATCTTCACCACCATGAAATAGGGTGGGGACAACATTTTGCCGCAGGGATAACTTTTATCAGCATAAACAGTAAAAGCCACAAAGAGTTGATAGAAAGATTAACAGAGGGCAATAACAGGAGAAAATATCAGAAGCTAAAAAAGGGTGTGCTGGTGAAGATTCTCAGTCATCCAGGTCATAGCAATTAAGAAAAATAAAAAAACAATCCACTGTTTTTGGTCCACTCTATAAAGCCTTGAACTCAACACTATTACTGACATTTTGAATTGAAAATGATTCCTGGATGGGAAGCGAATCGTGTTCAAACTTGGAAACAAAGTCCAGTGGATTGCTTTTTTACTTTTACGGCATACAAAAGGGTCAATATTTGTCTTTCAACAGGAAGACCCTTAATAGTTAGAGCTGCAATGGAATGGGTTAAAAAAAGTTCAATTTAAGTACAAGAAAAACCCTGTTTATAACCAAGTTGTAAAAATAATTGAG